TTTTCCCTTTTTTTTTTTTTTTTTTTTTTTTTTAGCGCGCTTTAGTGAGCTAATTTGAGCGCAATTGAGCTTCAGTTTGTGAGTGAGTTAGCGAGTGAGCGAGAGAGCCTATGTATGTCTATGCTGTGTAGCTGAGAGTAATTGTAGTTGCGGGTGTGTTCTCCAGAGTCCTCTTCTTTTCCTTTTTCGTGCTCTTCTTCTTCAACTACTGGCTGTGGCATATGTCTTCTCCTAGACTCGTTGTTTTTGTTTCAACTGCAGCAGTTGATACTTTAGAGTATATGTGTGTGTGTTTGTGTAAGTGTTTTTGTTGTTGTTGCTGTAGTTTTTTTGCACAGCTCTCTTCAAAATATTGCTGCTGCTCCTTCGTAGCGGTTGCTAGCAGCTTGCTTCTTCCTCCTGTTGTCCTGGACTTAAGCGATTTGCTCTTTTTCTGCGTTTCACTGTTCCGCTTTTATAGTACATGTTGCTTGAAACAGCTGACATTTGTATTTGAAAATAACCAACAAGCTCTGCAACGAAATGGAAGACAGGCGAAAAAGGTTAAGAAAGAGAAAGGAATACAACTATCATTCAATCACAGTTAGCATGTTGCGCATACGCTCTGTAGTATCATAATAAACAATTGATACCCGATTCGTTTATAACTTAGTTTTGTAATCCACACACACACATTCAAACACGAGCGCACGGTACAGAGAGACACGCATATGCATATATATACACATGTATACATCTATCACCTTCGCAATCAGTGATAATGCTTAGGTAAACGGAACTGAAGCACATACACACACGCACACACTCGCAAGCAAAAATACGCACAATTTTGACAGTAAATGTGCTAATTTCGCTTTAAGAGTTTCTGACTGTGATTTTAAAACTTGATCGCTTGTTCTCTTTTTTATCTTTTCCCTCTTTTTCTCTCCCTCTCTCTCTCTTTAGTTGCCGCTTTACATGAGCATCCCCATTTCTTAAAATTCGTTAAAGAATATAATAAAATAAAAATAATATTTATATATATAAATAAATATATATCTCTATACTTTTTAAAAGTTTCAAAACGGCGAATCGACTTCGCTGAGCCTCTCCCACTGACAGTTATGTTGACTGTTCTATAAAAGTAATTTATTTAGTCTATCTACACTTGGATAGTATAAGATCGCGTTGGGACTGTGTTCGCTCTGTTGGTATTAGAGATGGGCGTGAGCATTTATGAATTCCTCGTGAGTTTCACGATCAGTGATAAGTGTACGTGTGCGTATTTATTTACACCTACACATGCATACATATAATTTTATATAAGTATGGTATTATATTTTGTATTGTCTAACATTTCTGTACCTATGAACGCTCATATTGCTTTCAGAATTTACACCCATATCAGGAATTGTATTGTATTATCACGGCCTTCTTTCTCAATACACAACGTACTTTCAAACTTGTATATATAAATATATATGTAGCATGGCAGAGCCATAATCACAAACACAAAGATATAATGATTTTCAGATCGCGTTGTAAACACGTGTGCAGATATTTTGTATCACTATCGCCTTTAACGATCGTCTCACATCACAGTCACGCACGCATCTCTAATTGGCAGCAACAACTGGCCAAAGGCAAAGACGAAAAATATTCGGATATTATCTAAAAGTTCCGCACTTGATACAAGAAAATATTAGAACAATAGAAAATTACCTCCCCCTTTGCTTGGATACGATTTCAGACCAGGTCATTGTACAATGAATTTCAGAGGAATGTAAACTGACGCGCGGTTAAAAAATAATATTTTTTCTTATCGACGCGCCTGCATTTAACGTTGTCATCGCTGCCGCCGCCTTCTGGCGACTAATTGACTGAGTTTCGAGTACAAAGCACTCAATTTCTATTTGAATAGGAGCACTCATTCACACACACACACGAACATGCTCACAGACACATGCAAACGTATTACATGCGTGTACTACATTCACGCTCAGTGGCGCAGAGCAGAGTTGCCAGATATCAAACAGAGTGAACAATAGACTATGTAAGCCGATGCCTGTAAGTAACCAAAGGCAAGCACGTGGATATATTAATCAAATGGGTCACGCCGAATTATTTAATGCAGTATTAATTACAAACACCAGCCAAAAGCATCCTGCCAAGTAAACGATAACATAACCTTTGCTTCTGGTGGCAACGCTGCTATAACAGCAAGGTAGCACAAGAAAGCGGGCAGGAAGGGGGGTTGAACGTACTCCTGCTTTTTTTTCTTTCTTTCTGAATGGCACGACGCAGCCCAACATACTGCTCCGACTGAACTGCTTTAAATCATATTGCCAAGTGATTGAATTGAAGCGTAACACACAGTAATAGTAATAACATTAGCAACACATTGATATGAGCAATGACCTTGCCACAAAGGATCACTAATAAAGTGTAATTCGGAGTGTGTCTGTGTGGGTGTATCTGCGTGTGGGAGAAGAGGGAAGTGGAGAGTCGCTCATAATATGACAATCAACATGATTAGAGTGACCTTAATTTTAAATGTAATATGAGCCCGAACGAGAACTAATTTGCATGTGGCAATGGGGCTACCTAATGCGTTTATCGTCTATCGATCGACGATACATGCAATTCAATGTTGCATCCGATAATGTAGAGACCGCGCCAAACATTTAAGTGTTATCGTGTCTATGATTTCAAGCTGATTGTAGGTGTATTTGCTGGATCGCGTTAATAGCACTTGAAGAACAATAATTACGGCTGCGTTCGGCAACGTCACAGCCGCTCTGCGCGAAACACAATCTCTTCCTCTCTCAAGCGGTCACACACACACGCAGCATCATCATCGTCTTCATCGTTGGTGAGAGTCGAGTGGTGAAACATAAGTTTAGCTGTTTACTAATTCTACTTTAACAGGTCGGTTTAACTGAACAGCCGATTAGTTACAAGTAGCTGGCAATAATCTTAGCAAATGGTCGTAGTATTTTCTAATCAGGAATATTCAGTTACTGTTGCTATATCTTCACTCAAACGAACGATGATGGAGGGGAGTAACGCGTAGTGTTGTTTAGAGCGAATTTTTTTTTCAGTTATATTTTACTTTGTGCCAACAAAAATTTATCACCACCTCCACCGCGCGCGCTCACATCAACGACCATAGCCACGCACTCACACACAGTTAGGAGGGCACACACATCTATGAGAGCAATATATGTGTGTGTGCGGCTGTATTAAGGTGCATAGCCCGTAGCACACAAACAACTTTTACACGCACGCTCTCACGCTCACTGCTCTTCTCTTTTGGCGCTCGCTCATCCAAGCAGCTGCCCCCGCCACCCGAGTAGGCGAGCCAACCCAACATCCAACCAACCAACCAATCCACTCGCCGACCGACTGACTGACAGTCGACCGTGATGACGACGGCGGGGTCGACGGTGACGATGGCGCAAACGACCGACCGACAGTCGAGCCGACGATACGACACGACCACGATACGACGACCAGTGGTGGCATGTATGTATGTATATAGCAATTTGTATGTTTACTTGTAGTATCTCAGCAGGCGGGTAAGTTTGTTTCACACACACTGAGGCCGTCACTCTCGCTGCGTTCCGAGTTGTCGCCTCTGACTTTTCTATTGCTATTGCATCTGTTTCCTCTACTTTGGCGCCGCTGGCCGACCAACCTTTCAGTTCAAAAGTAAAAAACTAACTGAGCCGCTGCGATTGTTGTTATTTTTCATAAATATCGATAAATCGATTAATAGATAGGCAGAGTTGTTTCTTATCAGAACGTCACAGAGTTGGTTTGAGTTGTTATTTTTGTAATTTTTCGGATGTCGCTAAAATGCGTAGTCAGCTGCTAAAATGAATTTTTATTGAAAATATGTATTTTTAGAATGAAACTCAAGTGGACAATAGACCCACAAACTGTGTTCATCAATGTGAGATTACATTTTTGTGTAACACATTCAGCGCAGGCGGCAATCCAGTAAAATTTAATCGAACATCAAACAGGGTCGTTGTTGCGCACATCATGTGTTATTTTTGTGTTGGCGCGCGAACTCGACAGACGATAACCATTGTAAACACCGGGAATAAACAATTGTGTGTGTTCGCGAAATAGATTTAAGTGCAATGCCAGAGAATATTATTGCCGGGATACCGGTGCATTTCCCCTTCGAGCCGTACGAGGTGCAACGCGCCTTTATGGAGAAGGTAATAATGTGCCTCCGCGATGGCACCAACGGCGTTTTGGAGTCGCCGACCGGCACAGGTAAAACGTTAAGTTTGCTATGTTCCTCGCTCGCCTGGATACGTACCCGGCAGTCCGAGCACCAGCTAAACATGCAAAAGCTGCAAATGGAGCAGCAGCAGAGGCAAGCAACAGGAGGCTCTGCAACCGGGGCCATGTCCGACTTGGCCTTGACCATGGGCAAGACCAATAACTGGGGTGTGCCCAAGGTTATTTATGCCTCGCGCACCCATTCCCAGCTGACCCAGGCGATGCGGGAGCTGAAGCGCACCGCCTATGCCAGCATGCGATCCGTGGTGCTGGGCTCGCGAGATCAGCTCTGCATACATCCGGACGTGATGAAGGAGCAGGGCAATTCGAACAAGGTGAACATGTGCAAGCTGAAGGTGCACGCAAAGACGTGCTCGTTCCAGCTGCGCGTCGAGTCCAAGAAGGATCATCCCGACTTTCGCGGACCCAGCATCATGGACATCGAAGATCTGGTTAAGGTAGGACAGCGATTGAAAATGTGCCCGTATTATGCCTCCAAGGAGCTGGTCAGCAGCGCAGACATCACATTCATGCCCTACAATTACCTGCTGGACCCGAAAGCCCGCAAGGCCAACAAGATTGAGCTAAGCAATACAATCGTGATCCTTGATGAGGCACATAACATTGAGAAGATCTGCGAGGAGTCCGCTTCGGTGCAGATACGCTCCTCCGACGTGGCCATGGCCATTGAGGATGTAACGCACATTATGAAAATCTTCACCAGCGCCGACTCACAGGACTCGGGCGGGCCCGAGGAGCCCAAAGACTTCACCCTGGACGATCTGACGCTGCTCAAGGAGATGCTGCTGGAGCTGGAGAAGGCCATCGATGGCGTCGTCGTCGAGAACCAAGTCGAGGGCACCACCTATCCAGCTGCCCACATCTACGAGCTGCTCGGCAAGGCAAATGTAAGTTAGTCTGGTACAAGAGAAGCCAGTCCTCATGGCCGATTCCCTTTGCAGTTCACCTATGGCAACTGCGCCACAATTGTCGCCCTGCTGGACAAGCTGGTGCAGTACCTCATGGTCGCCTCGCAGCACTCGATGCTGCGCAAGGGAGGCAGCTTCATGGTGCTCAGCGATCTGCTGAACGTCGTGTTTGCCAACAAGGAGGACATCATGGCCAAGGTGCATCGCAGCTTCAAGGTCCATGTCCAAATCGAGGAAACCAAACAGACGAAGCCAGCGGGTGGCAGCAACAGCAAGCAAACCGGCTGGCTGGGCAAGGGCAACAATGCGGCCACCACTGTCTCCAAGACGGCAAAGATTATCAATTTCTGGTGCTTCAATCCCGGTTTCGGCATGGAGCAGCTGCTCAATACCCAAGTGCGCAGCGTCATCCTAACCAGCGGCACATTGGCGCCGCTGAAGCCCCTCATTGCCGAGCTGGCCATACCGGTGGCCCAGCATCTGGAGAATCCGCACATAGTGGATCAGTCGCAGGTCTATGTGAAGATCATTGGCACTGGCCCAGATCGTGAGCAGCTAATATCCAACTATAAGAATCGGTAATTATACGAAATTAGCCTGAACACTAATTGCTGCTGATAAACTGAATCAAAGAAAATGTTGCATAACGCAAAGCCACAAGTTCTGCTTGTAATTCTCAATTGGTTGCAACTGCTGGCTAATGAAGCTCGAGTCTTGCACGCTTCTGAACCACAAAGCCTTGGGCTTCAATTAGCCTAGGCCAATGAAGTAATGGGCTGTGGTGCTAATTAAAAGAGCTAGTTGGTTCGTGATTAGCTAATGATTGGCTAATAGGTAATTCTTAATTTTTCTACTTTCCCCTCTCAGCTCAGGCAATTTAGAAAGAGTGCTGGCATTTTTCCTTAGCACTAATAGCTGGATCTAGCTATAAAAGCGGCCAAGCTAGCTGAGATTAATGCAGGCTTCATGTAAAATATGCATATAGAGGAACACGCATTAGATAGAATTTCCGCTAATCAGAATTTCCATTTTTTTCCCGCTACCCCACTTGGGCATAAGCCAAATCTGGCTGAAAATAAGCTAAAACGATAGCTTTGTCTAGAACAGTTGTGAAATAGCATCTAGCTGGATTTGGAGTTATTTTCAATCAGTCATTGGATGTTTTATATTTTAGCATTATCATAAATATTGACAATATCTTAGTGTAGCATGTTTGAGGCCCACAGCTTTTGTCAATTTTTGTCTACTTTCACCTCAGCTCTCTGACGTTTTACAAACGGAGATTGGAACAATTGTGAAATAGCGGCTGGCGGGATTTTATGTGTAGCTATATTGTGCCATTAAATGGCTTTTTTGTTAGCATTAACGAAACTATTGAAAAAGTCTCGTGGCATGTTTTGGGTTAGCTTTACGCAGCAGCTTCAACATCTCTAGTTATACTTCCCTATCACAAATGTCGAAAGTAACTTGCAAAGAAAAGCCAACAGATGCCTTGATTTAAGTTCATATATTTAAAGAGTTGATGCATTTGGTAAAGGAAAATGCTCTTACATATATCGAATATCTTCCATTAATACGAAACCAATTTTGTTTAGCCTAGAAGAGTTGGTATAAAGAATAAAGCTAAGATGAAAATAGCAAGGGGGAAAACACGATTCTAATTAACTACAGTTTCCATATATTCCACTTATCGGAAACTAATAGATCAGCTATATACATATGTAGATATCATTATAGAACTGTTGATTCGAGAAAGACTTCGTCTAGTCTTATTCTCCTATTAATTGTGCTGATAGTATATAGATGTAGGATTATCGGTTTGTCCAAAGAAAGTATACTCAAAATATCTTGCACCATGTTAGCGACATTAGATACCAGCTGTGAGATAAGATAAGCAACAGTAATAGAAGCTAAACGAGCTCGTCGTATGCCAATACAAATGCAATCTGTATATATATGTATATGTGTGTATATTGATCAGCATGATAATGAGCAGTCATTAACAGATATTGTCATCCACTTATTCACAGCGACAATCCAAAGTACATCAGCTCGCTGGGCCAGACGATTCTGAATGTATCGCGAATCGTGCCGGATGGGCTATTGGTGTTCTTTCCATCGTATCCCATGCTGAATCAGTGCGTGGACGCTTGGCAGGCGAGCGGCTTGTGGGCGGACTTGTCCAGTCGCAAGCCGATATTCTTGGAGCCGCGCGGCAAGGATCAGTTTACCAGCACCATGGAGGAGTTCTATCAGGCGATACGCGACTCGAAGGGCGCCTGCTTCATGGCCGTCTGTCGGGGCAAGGTGTCCGAGGGCTTGGACTTTGCCGATCGCAATGGCCGGGCTGTGATCATAACCGGGCTGCCCTTTCCGCCCCTGAAGGATCCGAAGGTGATATTGAAGCGTCGCTATCTGGAAACCAACCGCACCAAGGAGAACCAGCTGCTCAGCGGTCAGGAGTGGTATAATCTGGATGCGACGCGTGCCGTCAATCAGGCGATTGGGCGTGTCATTCGCCATCGTCACGACTATGGTGCGATTCTGCTGTGTGATGCGCGCTTCCAGGATGCCTCGCAGGTGCAACAGCTGTCCAAGTGGATACGTGGCCACCTGGGCGCGCGCCCGCAATCGTCGCCATTCGGGCCCATTGTGCGCGAGTTGCGCCAATTCTTCAAGCATGCCGAGCAAACGGTTAGAGCTAACCAGATCTCTCGATCCATATGCTAACAAATGTCATTTTGCCTCCCACAGATGGCACAGCCCGACGAGCGCGTCGTTGAGCAGCCACTGCAGACCGTGTGCAAGGAGGAGCAGCCGACGCTGGCGCCCAGCTACAACAGCAATACCCAAATCAAGCGTGAGCCCGGCTCTGGAGCCAACAGATTCCAGCTGGCCAGCGAGCTGGCAGCGTAAGTCTTGAATAATGAGCCTTACGGATCTATCTTAATTGCTGTTGTTCGTGTTGTTGCTTGCAGCAAAGCGGAAATGGCCAACTCCATCAAGAGCTGGACGCCAGCGGATTATGTCAATGCAGCTGGTTGCAGCAATCAGAGCCAATCAGCGCCCAATGCCATGGACTTCATGAGTCGGCTCAACTCCAATGTGACGGTAGATGATGCCCTACGACAAACCCTAATTGTACGCTCTCTAACGTCAACTTTGCTTCACCTACACAGAGCATCGACTTCAATAACACCGACCTAGTTAAGATACACAAGCGCGAGCGCAGCTCACCGACAGCCAACGAAACGTTGACCAGTGGCAAGAAGCGCTACAAGCTGATCAGCAGCACTGATGTGGTCAAGACGGAACCAGGCACCAGCAACAGCTACAGCTACAGCTACGCCAACATCAGCAGCAGCAGCGGCAGCGACAGTAGATGTTGCTCTGCAAAGCCGGCTGTGTCTCCGCTTAAGGAAGCGCCTGAATCACGCGCAGATTTTCTGCGTGAGGTCTGTCCTCGCAATTTGCTAATCTCTAGAGAGATTGATTTCAACTCTTTGCCTTCTCTTTGCAGGTGCGCAGCGTCGTGGACAGCGATAAGTTTCGCAGTTTCGGCAAGGCGTTGCTGGCTTACAAGACTGGCGGCGATAATTGTTTCGAGGTGCTAATGGTGCTGCTCCTGGATGTGCTGGGCGCACCCAAGCTGCGATACCTGCTCTACGGCATGCGTCGCTATCTGAAGAACGAGCACAAGGAGGAGTTCGATATACGCTTGGCCAGCCTGCAGGCCAGCTAGTCCTTGCTCTTGTACCTTCCTATCTGACTGTCTTGCTTGTATACATAATTTGCATAGATTCTATTATATTTAAAAATAAAAACAAACTTGTAAATGCGCCATTCGGAGAGAATGTGTCTAGTTTGTGGCATAAAGCAGGCCTTAACTAGAATTTAGCTATATACTAAATACATATTGAAATAAGAGATCGAGAAACGCTCTCAAATATGTTATAGAAGAATTACGATTATCAAATTCTGTTCAAATATCGAAAAGCAAACTCGATGAACATTTGTTTTTTCTGTGCATTTCTAATTTTATTGCGACTGACAATTGTGAAATCTTGTGCGTCGATCTTTTTGTATATAATCAAATAATTAATACAAAGAAACTTCTACTAGTAGATACTCGAACGTTTTTTTTTTTTACATATACATAAAATCCCATACATAAGACCTTCTTCCGAATTTTCTAAATAACGTCTGCAAATGCTTAAACAAAATATCGCAAAGCTGAACAGAAAAAAAAAAATTTCTATGGCTGAGTTTCTAAGAAACAAAATTTTGTAAAAACAAAAATGAAAAAAAAAAAAAAATAAGATAAGATTATTATTAAAGAAAAAATATTTTACGAGTGAAATATAAAAGAATATACATTCAAAATTTTAAAAATTTAAATATATAAAAGCCACAAATAAAAGAAAAACCTTAAAGGAATCAAGACTAAACAATTCTAATATAAATATTAGGTGACAAAGTAAGAAAATAATTGCAGCAGCTTGGAAAATAAGGAATAATACCTTCGAGTGTCCAAAGCGCTTACTAATTCAAAAATTTATTTTTTCTACTCATTCATCAGAGTATATTGGCTTTGTCCATTGCACGTCTTGTTGTCTCTCCGCCTGTCCTTATGACCTTCAACCAAATCGCTGCTATTAAAGATGATGACTTGAAATTTTGAACATATATGCTTGAATCCCTGGAATTGGAAAGTTTCAAGTAAGATTCATATTTTACCTTAGAGTCCATTGTAGTCGAAAAAATATAGACTGGAAATGTGAAATATGCAGATATTCGCGCCGACAGCTGAAGTTCAATAAGATCTACACTTAAATAACTGTATTTCCTACAGCTGGACTTTGAATGGGTATTTTGCAGTCGGCAATGCCTGACTGCAGCGCTTTTGCTTCAAAGTTGAAGTTCCCAATACTAAACAAAATCATTCACATAAATCTTCCTTTGCGTATAGAGACAAACACTTGGCTAACTTATCATACTTTCATTAAGTTTTATTAAAAAAAAAAAAAAAAAATAAAAACACTTAAACTAATTGCTTAAAATACATATCAAATTAAATGGATTTATTTATATGTAATTACTTGTAATTGTAAGTATTTTTCGTTCTTGTTTTTTTTTTTTTTTTTTTTTTTTATTTTTATTTTTTTTTTTTTTTTTTTTTTTTTTTTTTTTTTTTTTTTGTATTTTGTATTTGTGCCCGGAACTTATTTATATGCCTATTGATTGTAAGTGATAAATGTCTACGGGCAATAAATATATATTATATATACTTCAATATTTGATATGCCAGACACAGCATGACCTAGGCCCACCACGCCCACAAAATATCAATTATATGTATAATATAATTATGTTCCTGCTTAGAATGCCAAACAAAACTTGCTTACTTTCCCACCGTTTTTCAAATAATTATTATAAATTAGCATGGAGATAAGCAACTTGTATAAGCAGCGACGTTTAATTGCCAGAGATTTCAAATTGATTTAATAAATTCGTTTTGTTTACTTTAGCATTCATTTAAATTGTTTGAATGTGCCGCTTGGTTATAAATTGAATTGCGGTTTTGATACAATATAAATGATTATCTTAATTTTATTTTGCTAAATTTTAGCAATTTATTTTAAAGATCTTACGCATATGCATTCATATATAAATATATAAATACTTAAATGTATTTATTTATAAATAATCGAATCTTCTATTTCAATTTGTATTACTTTTTAGGAATTTTTATTTCTAGTTCAACAGTTTTATATTTCTTTTTATATATTTTAGTATAAATTTTGTTATCTAGTGTATTCCACATTGAAATCCTTGAACTGCAGTTTAAGCAGACAAAGGGATTTTGTATCTTGGGAACTTTAGCTCTATGAGTCAAGAGTCGTGTCTGTTAATAATTATATATATATATATATATGTAGGTATGTCTTTCGCGGGTTTTTGTTTCAATATTTGCTAATAGCTATTGAATTATTTATAACTTTTCCTTCTCTTTCTATTAAGCCCATGGCTTATTTCAAAATGCGTGCCAAATTTTGTTCTTTTTGCTCCTTTTTTTTTTTACCTTATATGCAAATCGGTTTTCAGAATTGGGTTAAAAGCTTTACGATGTTGACCGGTTATTTATTTTTGATTATTTGCTATTTATCATTATTTCTGTTCTGGTTTTGATAATTAAACATAAAGAGACGTAATACGGGGGAGAAGGTTATTATGTATGGTAATCAAAAGAAATGTAACCCACGCCAATGATGTGAGTAAAAGATGTTGGGCAAGTTTTGCGATTTAGAACTGGGCAGGTTTTCATTGGAGGTGAAAGAGAAAGAGGGAGAGAGCGAGAGCGAGAGCGAGAGAGTTCATTGAACGTCAAGAACCTCGGCCCACTGATCCTGTCTGCATATTTTAGATGTGGCGAATTAAAAAAAAAAAAAAGCTAGTAGAGATTGTGCAACAAGAGAAAGGCGGCCGCTTTGAATAAAATTTGCTTGCGTGGAACTTTCGGCTTGTAAATATATTTATTATCTATGTAGTCCATCAAGAGCAAATACATGAATTTATTTATATATTTCACATTTAATGCAAGTCTTTTTCAGAACAAAAGTCTTTTGTTTCGTTTATATACACATATAAAATACTTGGTTGGTTTTATGTGCCACTATTAAAAATCCATAAACTTGGTCCAGAAATCGGACTTCTACGCGTATCACACAAATATACACAGTAAAGCATTTCTTATGCACTTCACGTACACACACGCACACCCACACACACACACAGAGAAGAATTCCACTTAATATTCAATTTGATGTCCATTTACTGTTGCAGCAACACACGACACACTGTTTGTATAGAAAGTTCTCACTACACTTGACTCATTCACTTACTTAGCTGGACGTATCCAAAGTGTGTTGTATATATAAAAGAAATATTCAGATATATTCCAGAGGGGGTTTTCACTTGTCGCGGCTACCTTCACGCATGCGCGCCCGAATCGAAACTGTTGCCGATCGCACTGAAGAGGCTCCTATTTATACGAAAACGGAGCGTGCTGCAAAAAATACAAAATACATAAAAAAAGAACGCCCGCGGCAACGTTCTAAAATGTTAAAGTAACAAGAAAGGAAAGTTTAGCATATAGTGAGCGCATTTTAAATACTCTTTGGGTTGCCGGAATAATTTATTAATGGCAATTAAATAAATATATAAAAATATATAAATTTATATATATATATTATATTACGTCATGTATAATAATATATAAATTTATATAATGAAATGTAAAATATATATATTTATATTTAATACAAAATTGCATTAACTACAATCAAACGTTTAGAAGATCAATAAATAAATATATAAAACAAATATTTATTTAGACAAAATTAATTGTATTTCAGAAACTACATAATTAATTATATAAGTGCTATATAAACAATTGTAGTATTTGGAATAAATATTGTCTTTAGATGTAAATATAAAGGAAATATATATTATTATATTAGTATATGCATAACGTATTTTAAACATGAAAAGCTAGACATAAAAATATTTAATATTCAGTGTTTTATGTATTTTATAAATATGTATTTACGATATATAATATCTTAAATAATATATAATGATATATATAAATAATAATAATATATAAAGAATTCTAGAAAGTAAATTTCATTAAATGTAAGCCTTTTTATACCTAACTATATAATTGATAATTTATTACTATGTATTATCTATCTATCTAATATACTTCAATGCAAGTTATACTGTCATGGATCAAAGGCCAATTCAATGAAAACTATCTTCGAATATCCACATACCTCTTTTACATATTTTACAAATAAGCTTAAGAATTTCTATTTTTGAGTTAACTCCTCATCAAGCAAGCGACTCTTTAATATTTATAATCCGCATATCAAACTTGTTGACATAATCGTAATACTTTCAGACATTGAAAAGTATGTATATTTATACCAAAAAAAAAAAGAACACGATGAATATGCGTACAAAATAAACCAAAACAAACGCGTTACTTCTGTGTCTTTTTTTCTTTTTTGTGTCCCCTGTAAAGCGAACATGGAAATAAAAACAAAAAACCGGCAAACGGCACAAGTCGTAGTCGGCTACCGGAGAAGAGCCTATAGCACGAGATGTCAATGTCCAACAGAAACTGGTCCAGATTTGCCGCTGACTTGTCATGCAAAATCAATGGGTGTAATTAATTAACTTTTTCTTCGTATTATGCTTTCTGTTTCCTCTTCTTTTTTGCCTCGTTTGCTTTGCATTACTTTGCATACTTCTGCGAGCATCTTTGATAATTTTTAAGTGGCAGCGAAATGATAAATCGTCTCAGCTTTCTCAATTAATATGAAATTTGCTCTTGCAAAGAATTTCACGTCAATAACGCAGTAAATAACCCATTGAAATCGGTAGCTGATGACCAATTTTTGACATCTTTGATTTATTGATCAATAATAATTATATAGTATTAAATTTATCATATTTATTCTATTCTTTTATGTAAAAATGTATCATCATTATATGTATATGCAAATATATAGACAATACTCGTGTATATTCTTTTAAACAAATATGGGAATAAAATCATTATTGAGTGAAGACAGAACAGAAATTTATACTATGAGAAATACGAGACAGTAGTCTATTAAATTAAGTAATAACTGTTCACACTTAAAGACCATTTTTTCTAATTTTTGTTTGTATATAGGGTATATTGATTTTTTTTTTTTAAGTATGTAGCCGGTAGAAAAAGAAACAGTTTGTTAACAAAGAAAGAATCAAACCAAACGAAGTCATTTTTTTTCAGGAACTTTTCTTCACTTGTTTGTTTCTCTGCCTTGATCTCTTTCCATGTGCAGAGTAGACTCTAGAATTATGTCAAGACTGCCAAATTGCCAATTTGATGAAATGGGTTTTTTTTTATAGCTGTAAATCGGTCAGTTAATGAGAACAAAACGTTTAAATTATATAGATTGCTGAAAACAAAAGATTCTTTTATATATGTTTCTACATAATTTTCTTCTATTTTATTTATTTATTTTATAATATAATTTTGTTATTTAATATTATAAAGTATAAAACTAAAAAACACTGACAACTAACCCGCTTGATTATTATGACATTCAAAAAGCCGTTATAGTTCACAGTTCAGCTTTTAGAAAAACGCACAAAAAAAGCTCAAACGCGTGCTCCAATAGTTACTATCGCTTAGCCGCCACGTACTGTTATCGCACAGCCGCATATCGATAGCTGGCAAGCAACCTGTGTGCAGTTGTTGCCCCTCTGGCTGGTAAACAAATAATTGTTGGAAATATACTTAACCAGTAAAACTGGCGTCCGTTTACCAAACAAACGACGGCAGATGCCAAGCAGGTGAAAAGCAACGATTTGCGTAGCGCAGAGTAACGGAAGCAACCGCAACACTAAGTGCAGCTGTTATTTATAGCAACATAATAGCAACAACAACTCGACGCTAAGACAACCGCCTAACAGCAACCCACCCACTCAGGCAACCAAACAACCACCGAATAGTTTTGTGAGTGAGTGAGCGAGTGGGCGTCGTAATTGGCCTCAAATACAAGTGCAAGGATACACGCTTCACAGTTGCACATTGTCGTCCCGTCAAAATCAAGGTGAGCTAAGCGGTTGCCGCGTGACGTCTCCATTTGACATTTGCGTGTGTTATGAAATTACATTTTTGACGGCCTATCGCAGCCACAAAAACTTTGTTATCAAATTGATTTAATTTATAAGATTTTAGAAAGCAACATGGAAGCAACCGTAACTGGAGTAAATGTGGGCACTGGAGCAGGATCAGGGACAGGAACGGCAGCAGCAACAGTGGCCGCCGCCGCTGCAGCAGCAGCCGCCGCAAATGCTCCCAATGCGAAACGGAATACGCAGCAAGGACGAAAAAAGTCGGGACCGAAATTTGAATTAACCGACGCACAAAAATCGGACATTAAAGAGGCATTCGATGTATTCGACAAAGACGGCATCGGCTATATAGAGGTTAAGGAGCTTAAGGTGGCCATCAGAGCATTGGGCTTCGAGCCGAAAAAGGAGGAAATTAAACGAATGATAGCGGAAATCGATAAGGATGGCAGCGGTCGGATTGCGTTCAATGACTTCTTGCATCTGATGACCATGAAAATGGCCGAAAAGGACATCAAGGAGGAGATATTGAAGGCGTTTCGCTTGTTCGACGACGATGAGACGGGCAAGATTTCGTTTAAGAATCTGAAACGTGTCGCACGGGAGCTTGGCGAGACGTTGTCGGACGAGGAGCTGCGCGAGATGATCGATGAGGCTGATCTGGACAACGATGGTGAGGTCAACCAGGAGGAATTTCTGCGCATCATGAAGAAAACCAGCTTGTATTAGGTCCACTTTTGGGCACATGGGACTCAAATTGAGCTCCAAGTCGTGCTGAAAGTGTGAACGTATTAAGTTTTAAGTTGATCTTAAGCTTTAGTGTAGCCAATTCGATTGCACAGCTTATGCTTTTATTTATTTATTGAATGTGGACTGCTTTTTATGTAAGTCTCGTCGTGTGTGCGTGTTCCTTTTCCCTGAATGTACAACATAAGCAAATGCACCGCCTGTATTTTTGCACAATATATAATCTCAATGATGAAGAATAAACATCAGCTAGTTAACGTTGTCAAAGAGTGATGTGTTTTGCTTTTTAGACTCTTGACTAGAATAGAACGAGGAATGCTACGAATAGAGAAGAGATACTCTTATCATTCTATCTGTCTCTCTTTAGCCATCGAGAGCGATGTAGACTTCCACTTAAAAGAACCAAAAGGGGGAAGATATACCCTAAAGTCTAGTTCGTGTACTAGAAGGAGTCATTTTGATGCGAAGAGCAGAGGATCTATGGGTAGACAACGAAAGAGTCAGTTAGTATATTTCTGACTGAATTCCTTTCTCTCTCTTCAAATAATGAGAATCACAAAGAGAGGTGTTGTATGAGTGCCTCACACTGCTGAATGTCTGCAGTGGTACTTGAAAATTTCTGCAAACATAGATCTCCCATTAAGAAAACATTTCATTCATTTATATTTTATTTGAATATTTTTTGCTTTTATTCATATGAAAATTCACTAAACATTTTAATACTTTGCCAACTTAAGAACTAAACAAAAAGACGGAACACATAAAAAAAACTAAGCACACAATATATTATACTTAAATTCGTTGTAAACATAAAATAGTATTGGTTGATATACCTATACACACATACATATACACATATGTATGTGCATTGGCTTATCTAGGGAACTGGCTGGATCTAAACGAACGGCGCATTAAAGTAAATCTTTCGTTTGCTCGGCAAGGGTTTGGTGCTCAGTCCGGAACCCTCAATGAATTTCTCAAAGCTGGCCAGATTCTTCTTCATCTGCTTGAGCTTGGCGGGCTCCGGTTTAGTTATTGGCTGGTTCACCTGCTTCTCCTCCACGTGCTCCTCATCCTGCTGCATCATTTGCTGCTCATGATCCTCCTGTTCGGTCTGCAGCTGAAACTCCTCATCCAGATTGTATTCATCAGCCGTTGAGATCAGGCACTCGTTGCCCTCACTGATCTCCGCCAGCATGCCCTCGCTCTGTGCTCCCTTCGCCGTGGCTTCGTTGCTTCTATCGTACTCCGCATCCAGATTATACCAATCGAATTCGGCCTGGAGTGGCAGCCCGCTGCTGGCATCGGCCAGCTGCAGCAGCGACTTTGATGTCGGCGTTGTAGGCAAACTTTTGGGCGTTGTAGGCGTGGTTGGCGAATTGGGCAAACTCATGCGTTTGTTGATCTCGGCCAGAATATTGGGCACATGCTTGCGCTTGTACTGGGCGGGCATCGTCTGGGTATTGCTGTTGCTGCTGAGCGGCAGCTGGAGGCGCAGCGTCTTGGGCGCCATTAGCATATAGTCGGCGGATTGCTTGGGCGCTATAATGGCCGCCACATTGGGTAGCTTTGGTATGTCGGCGAAAATCTCTTCGATTTCCTCAGTCTTGTGCGAGGCGGCCGCTGAGCAGGCATCATCATCATCATCATCATCGGAACAGTTGTTCCGTTGCCGTTCCTGTTCACATGGCCGTTCCCTTTCACGTTCCGCTTCGGGCTCTGTGGGCGTACTCGATTCTGGTACATTGTGAATGTCGGCAACGATTTGTACGCTCGTCACGCCCACCTCGGCTATGGAACAGTAGTCCGGTTCGCTTGTCGTTGTCGTGGATACCGCACAATCGCCCTCATCTTCGTCCAGGTGCTCCTCGAGCTGCTGCAGCGACTTCTTGAACTTGAGCAAATTCGCCGGCTTGGGCGGCAAGGCCGGCGGCAATTTCTGCGGCGTCTTGGTGCTGCCAGCACTGGCATCTGACGTCGCGGCTGCCATGTCCACATACAGATTGGAGGCACGCTCCGAGCCGATTGGCTCATACTCGTTGCTGTAGATGCTCTCGTAGTTGAGGGTGTCGCCGGGCACAACGGAGCCGGCGGCGGTGGCGGCGGCTGCAGCGGTTTCTGCCATGGGATGATAGTGTGAGATCAATTCGTTGGCATTATGTGGCTCCTCCTCGTCGTCATGGCGCGGCACATGCACCATGCTGTTCTTTGTGGAGAAGTGCACCCGCTTGCGTCCATTCGTGCCGCTGCGGCCGCTCAGCGAGCTGCGACGCGGCAGATTGGAGCCCGTCTTGGGCGCCAGCGCAGACTTGGGCGTGCTTGGCTCGCGCAGCGTCTCCTCCATGGACTGTTGCAGCAGTATCTGATTGACGCACTCGAGCACGGGATTGACAGCGCCATGGCCATATGGCTTGGCCACCACGGGCGCTGTGCTCAGCTCCTCCTGGTCCGAGGCACTGGCATACCAATCATCTGTGGTCGTCTCGTAGATTTGCTTGGGCGACGCCTCTGAGAAGTCGGCACAGCGTCGCTGCACGATTTTGATAGCGCCGCGAGACATTAGCTGTTGCTCCTGCTCCGGATCGAGCTCATCGAAATCTTCGTCGTCCTGTGTGGGCGAAAAGATGCCATCATCCTCCTCCAACTGGGCGGCCACCGATGAGGCGGTCTTGCTGCTGCGACTGGAGGCCGAGCTGTTGCGTCGCCGTTGCTGCTGCTGCTGCTCCAGCTCCAGACTGCTGTGCTCGGAGTAATCGCCATCCTGTAGCGTTGACTTCACTCCATGCATGCGCTCCATCGCCCGCGCATAGTTGTGCAGCTGCTCGTAGCTCGTCTGCGAATCCTCGCGACTAATGCTGCTCGTATTCTCTTCCGACTGTTGCTCCAGTGCTGCATCATCGATGTGCATTGCCCGGGAGCGCATATAGTCCCGAAACGTGCCCGCTGTGCGCTTGCTTGTGTAGCGCACACTGCGCCTGGCGCCATAAAACGACGATGAGACTGTGTCATCGCTGGAAGAGCCGTGCTCAGCTGAAGATTGAGAGTGAGAGAGAGAAAGAGAGAGAGA